AACGACAGAAACGTAAGTGAATTTTACGATAACGACAGAAACGTAAGTGAATTTTAAAATTGCTAAAGTTCTAGAGGTTAGAGTCCTTGTCAAATGGCGTTAGAGTCCCAGTTGACGACGTTTCAACTAAAAACCTAGAGGTTGGAGTCCTTGTCAAACGGCATTTTGACTAAAGTCCCAGATAAGGACAGGGGTGCGGGTTTTAATGTTTTTATCTTTTTTAATCTTTTTTTTTTTTTCAAAATCTCTTTCTTACTGTTTATTCAATGTCGCATGTTGTTTTTTTATTATGTAAAGCACTTTGAAATGCCTTGTTGCTGAAATGTGCTATACAAATAAAATTTGATTGATTGATAGTCAACTCTTTACTCTGGACTTTTTTTGAGGCCAGCCGACTCGTCGTAATCACCTGACAAAACTGATTTTTTCAAGAAAATGAAAGTTGAAGTAGGTGAGTTCGTCAGACAGCTCAAATTGTTTAAAAATGTAAATAATTTACCAAAGACAAACTGAAAATTTCAGCCAGGGCTACTGAAATATGGGCGTTGCGTGGCGCAGCTAAAACTGACACCCCACCCACGTCAAAAAATCCAGCCAATAGTCTGAGTAGTTAGTGCGCCATTTGTGCAGGTTTGGTTTCTAAGATATTAAAAATTACTTTTTAGGTCAGCCACAGTTCACCTGTAGAGGCTAAGCCAAAGCTTTAAGCCCCTGAGGTGGTACACCGGGGTAAAGTTGACACGCCGATCACTTATCCGCTTAATTGAAATGAGAGCCGTCTTTGATGTTAGTGCAGGTAATCCATTCATTTCCATGACTCGACAATCATTATCTTATTTCCTTAGTACAACAAATCATTCCTCTAACATGTTGTCAATAACACCGCATACATAGTTTCAGCGATCCACACAGCATTTAATTTGATAGCGGTAGCATTGCGTCACGTTAGTATTGCGTTGCGGTCAAAAACTGTTTCCCCCTTTCGGGTGGAACACACCTGTCATCATCAACACTGGATGCTACCTAAATAGACAGCTGACAGATCATGTGACCCAAACCATTTGGAATACAGAAATTCATAATCTGCTCCTACATCACCATCCCCCCATGTTGCTCCAAAACAAACCAAAGTGGGCCACTTCGTTAGTGCAGGTTTTTGCCATTAAAACTACTGCAGCGAAGTTGTTTTCAAGTTGGATACTGGATATTCCAATATCTGCGGAGCAAGCGGCGTTTAGCTCAAGGTTGATCCGATTTATGAACGCTAATTTCTGCCAGCCGTTCTCCTGCTCCCTCCTCAGCGCTCAGAGGTTCACTTAGGGACTACCAACAAATTTCTGAACCAAACACTCCTAAGAAACAAATGTGAATAGATATCTGGCCTTGTGACCAAATGACACAAAATTCATGCTGTTACACGAGACGGACTGTTCTCTAGTGAATTTTTAAGTCATATTCAATATTTTTAATAATTGTAATATTAAAAAGTATATATGTTTTCTTCAATAGCTTCCAATCTATTGACTCAAAATCAGTGTAAAACTGTTCATCTAGACTGGAGAGATGAGGTATACTCATTTTTATTGCATTTGAACCGTTTTGATATTATTTTAGCATTTTTTTTTTGTCAATTTATTCTCTTCTAAAGCTTCAGGGTCATGTGACCCATTTACAGTGTGAAATTGTTCTACTAAGAGACTGTGAAGATGAATTGGCAGTCCCTAAGTGAACCTCTGAGTGCTGAAGAGGGAGCTGGAGAACGGCTGGCAGAAATTAGCGTTCATAAATCGGATCAACCTTGAACTAAACGCCGCTTGCTCCGCAGATATTGGAATATCCAGTATCCAACTTGAAAACAACTTCGCTGCAGTAGTTTTAATGGCACAAACCTGCACTAACGAAGTGGCCCACTTTGGTTTGTTTTGGAGCAACATGGGGGGATGGTGAACTCTGGATGACCTAAAAAATTATTTTTAATTTCTCAGAAACCGAAGATGCACAAAAAGTTTAACGGAGCAAACCTCCACAAACGGAGCACTAACCACTAAGACTATTTGCTGGATTATTTGACGTGGGTGGGGTGTCAGCATCACTCAGCTAGTGGTTAGTGGCACTCCTCATATAGAGACTGTAGACCAGTGATCCCCAAAGTGGGTCTTTGAGGGCCGGCATCCTGCATGTTTTATTCTCTCCCTGGTTTAACACACCTGCATCAAATGATGGCTCATTAGAGGCCTAAGAGGAACACTGACAAGCTCAAAAGGTTGTTACTCCACCAGGGAGAGAACTGAAACATGCAGGATGCCGGGCCTCCAGGACCCACTTTGGGCCCCCCTGCTGTAGACCGTAGTCTGGAGTCTGACTCCCGTCCTCATTCACTTGGCCCATGCCTCTCCCCCCCTTCTCCTTGTCAAATAAAGGCAACTGAAAAAAAATCTTAAAAAATACTACTGGAGTAATATACGAAAATGTGGCATCATAATGTCGCATCAGCATCACCCTGCGTATTGAAGCTTCTAACCTGGCACCTTTATGCTATTATAAAAACACTGTTTGACAGCCTCTGGGGCCTCATGCATAAAGCGGCATACGCACAAAATATGTGCGCCGCCATATTTTCTGCACAAGCTGGCATGTATAAAAATTAACTTTGCGCCAAAGTGTGCATAAATATACTCACACTTTTTCGGTGGCGTGAAAATGTGCAGCAGCCACGCAAACTTTTTCTGTGAACAATATCAAACCACAAAGCTTCAAAACTCACCTAAATATACTGAAGTCTGAAGACATTCAGTGTTTTTTAGACCAACAAGCATCAAACCTGATGTTTTTTTCATGGTTTTATTTTTTTATTGCTAAAAAGCAAACAATGAAACTGAACCGCATTTATCCTCAGACAATAAAGTAACATGAACACAAAATAAAGAAAATAAAAATAAAAGGATGTGACAACCTCACTCAAATGTAAAAAGTACTTTTTCTCAGTTTTTGTCTCGTAAAGACGTAACGCTTTGGTTTGTGCGCCGAAGTGCATGAAATGCATCTATGAGGTCATTTAACTCACTAAAAAACAAACAAACAAACAAACAAACAAACAAAAACAAAAAAAAACAGGGTTGGATCAGCAGATTAACTCCAAACAGGTTTGATTATTTTTAAGGTGATTGAGGTCTGTAGACAATCCCGTATGTACGTAGCTGAGCAAAAATGTGGAGCATTTCGGCTCTGATGGAGAACATCGCCAATGGAAGGATTCAGAGGGGACGATTCATCAGAGATCATATTTATCTTCTGTTGATGATGGTTTATTAGTGTTTAGATTAATCCAGACTGATCATCCTGGAGCTCTGAGCAAAACTTAAAGAAGGAGCCGTGCGGTACCGGTACCGGTGCAACTGCAGTCATCGAGCCGCCTCTTTGTGGATGCGCCTTCTGGACAGAAAACATCTTTATTCTGTAAATGTACAACTTATGCACATGATTCTACTATTTAGAATAAACGTCCACATTCCCCACTCAAAGACTCTCTGTCTGTCTTTAAATCCCGGCTGAACGCCATATTGTTCAAACGGGCATTTTCATGATCTCTTTATTTATTTATTTGGATTTTTTTTTCTTTAAAATGTATTACTTTTATTTTTGTGAGGAGACCTTATCTGTCCTGAAAACACCTTTTAAATAAAATATATAAATATTATAATAAATAATTATACTGCTGTAAACAAGGACGTTACCATGGTTACTGCTTCACATGGTAGCAGACTTCCGGGTATTTATACTAATGTACATATGTATTTATGGGTGGCAACAAGGCAGACTAGCAACTGTGCTCTGTTTCCCGCAAATTGGGATTTATAAAGGAAAGGTGCACACGCACGGCTTTATACATCTGAATTTTTTAGTGCGCCGCACTTTTCTAAATTTTTTCGTACGTATGCATGAGGCCCCTGGTCTTGCCTCGGTCTCGGGTTAGGTGGTCTTGATGACAACACTAAAGCAGTGGTTCTTAGCCTTTTTTGAGGTACCGAACCCACCAGTTTCATATGCGCATTCATTGAACCCTTCTGTAGTGATAAATAAAATATTTTTTTTCCCCCCCCAAATTCAAGACATAGAGTCTAGTTGGGTCACCCCAAGATCACCAAGTCTTCT